TAGAGAGGGTAGCTTTCAATGATTATTGATTGATTATTTTCACTGTTTACACATCTGGTTAAGATAAGATGTGATTATAATATAATTTGATATAAGATTTAAAGATTATGAGTAGTACTTGCTAGTACTACTGATTCTTATTAAGGATTTGATTTAATCCGTACTGGAAATCGATTTAATTGTTCCAATAGTTTTTTAATTAATATATTCTTCTTGAAGCTTCTAGATCTTTGAGAAATCATGCACAAAGTCACGTAGGCAACTATAGGGCCCTATGGTGTACGTGATCATAGGCATTGTCATCTAGGATCCAGATATATAATGAATCTGTAGTGATTCTAAGATGATTTTGTTATGCTTTAGATATGATGTAGAAATTATACATTTCTTGGATAATAATATAGATATAGTGGGTAAAATTTCCCATAGCTGAATCATAAACTGAAGCTCATTTCCAAAACCCATATTTGGAGTTTATAATTTATTCTTATCTCTCTTTAATGCCTTTCAATCATCTATTATTTTGTCTTGATAGTGTCCACTGAGAGGCCTGATGGCTGAGTGGACAACGCTCGGAATTCATAGTTCTAAGGTTCCGGGTTCGATCCTCGGTGGAGGCGAAAACAAATGGGCAGAGTTTCTTTCACCCTGAAGCCCCTGTTCACAAGGCAGTAAATAGGTACCTGGGAGTTAGACAGCTGTTATGGGCTGCTTCCTGGGGATGTGTAACAAAAATGAGGCCTGGTCGAGGACCGGGTCGGGGAGACACTAAGCCCCGAAATCATCTCAAGATACCCTCAAGGACTCTTAACACAGTTTAATCACTTTAGTAGCTGAGCTGTTATTATAAGTCGATGATTAACTCAAAAATTCTTTATTTTTATTTTAAACAATTAGTGCAACTTTTGTTGGCTCAGATTCAAAAATTAAGTTACCGAGATCTCATGTGCAGTAACGACAATTTCAGTGTTCTCACACACCTACTTAGTGTAAATTTATTGATCGTTAAATTCCATGTTTAGCGTTTTCAGTCCAGAATATTGTGATTTTATCATGCAGTAATTATAAATTTAAGGTTCTTACACCTACATTTTCTCCCTTCCTTCAATATTCTCATTTAGTGATTGAGTTTATATTTGTCGGTGATATGTATAGCTGTGGAAGTTTGTTCTAATCATGAATGTTTATAAATATAAGATTCTGTGCCAGAGTTAGGATGTTCCTGCCATATGCTGACGCTTTTAACACTTGTGCAAAATATGACATTGGCTGGATCTAGTAACTATTATCGCCATATGAAGACATGAGAATCTTTCGTCATTCAAATAACATGTCTTTCGACTCACCTGTGGAATATTGTCACTGGAAAATAAGTATATTCTCCGTCATACAAAACAATGCATGTCCATATGGACTATAGAGCTACGAGGGGACTGACAGACACTGCTACTGGCTGGGGTTTACTCACCATCTGCACCGTCGTTCTGGAAGCCCAGGTTAGGCCAGGCGGCGACAGCGGCCACGAGAGTACACAGCACCAGGGCCTTCATGGTGGAGATGGCTGATCATCTGTGCAGTCACCTTCTTTATATCCTCCGGTCTCCTGGTGACCTCCAGACTCGCCACCAGATACGTTCCTCTCAGCTGTTGCCATCCAACTTTCAATCAGATAAATGTTCATTACAATTATCAAAATGTAATCACGTCTACTACAAAATTGAGTACATATCTTCCCTAACTCACAAGTGCTAGGGAAACTCCAAACACTTTCAAAGGATTATAAAGAGAAAGAAACTTATAGAGCTAAACTATTGGAGATTTGTGTATGGAAAGCTTATGCTGAGATAAACATCTTAAGGCGAAGTTCTAAGGGAAAGCACTTATCAATTTTGTTTGTATTCGTATATTCGATATTGCCCACACACCCCTTCTGTCCCATTCTCCACCTCTCTCATCACTCGTTCCCTATCCCCCTTAGTTTTCCCCATGTCCCCCTCCTCTAAAACTTAATCCCTTCTCCTCTCCTTCCCTGTTCTTCCGTTTTTCTCCCCTCACCCTGTTCTCAAACTTTTCACCCCTCTCCTGGTCTATACCCCCCTCTCTCACTTCTAGTCTCTCTCTTCCCGTCTTCACCTCTCTCTCCCTTTCTCTAATTCCCAACTTTAAAATATCCCCCTTCGCCATCCCTCTCTTCTAAATCCCCCTTCTCCTTCTCTTTCTGTCTCTCCCTATCTCTGTATCTTCCTGTCTGTGTCTGTATTTCTCTGTGTGCTGTTGTCTGTCTCTGTTTCTGACTCTGCTTATAAGTCTTTGCTAGTTTTTTATTTTCTCATTCTATCTGTCTCATTCTGTCTGTCTCTTTTTCTCCGAATAGGCCTCTGTCTCTCTCTGTCCCTCTTTAACTCTCTCTCTCTCTCATCAAAGTAATATAATAGTCTACCTTTAGCGTGTGGGTGGCCTGCTATCGGAGAAGCCTTTGTGTGAAATGTTTAAACAAATATATATATATTAGTTACCCATTTGCTTCTCAAAAAGGTGGTGGTGGTGGGGGTAAGTGTGAAAACGTTTGAAGCTGCTGGATTCTCTGTTTTATGCCAGTACAGCCGAAGTACGAATAACAGAAAATTTGCATAATTTTTTCTGAAATCATTGAATAATGATGTATATTACTTTTATAAAAAAAAATCTTGAAATCTTTGTTTTCGAAATATTTCACCACGTGTAGGCGGTGGGCAGTGACAAAAATTGTCGTGGATATCAGAATGTAACCCTGACACTCGGTTAATTCTCGAATTCTGGCTACCCTGACGAACCTGTGTCTGTACCGGACCCTAAACCAGTTCCCCTGCAAAGCTGGATGAGGCTAGCCCCAAGTGTCTGGCCTGCAACCATCGGTAGAATGACAGACATTCTCTCCTATAAAGTTAAGAAACTTTCCTTATTCAGACTACTCATAGTCCAGTCGATAGAGCTTTGGCTTCACACGCGTGAGAACGAAGAGGCGGGAAATCTACTTTTTATTTCAAGTACAAAGAAATCTTTATTTAATGTCCAAAGGAATCGTTAATCAAGTCCGTGGAAGCTATTCCCCACGCACACGTACCTCCGACTGGATCACGATGGGCTTACTGTTTCTCGTAGATGATCTTCAGCTATCCTTGTTGGCATGATCTTCAGCTATTCTTGATGGCATGATCTTCAGCTATCCTTGATGGCATGATCATCAACTATCCTTGATGGCATGATCTTTAACTATCCTTGATGGCAGTATCTTCAACTATCCATGTTAGCATGCTCTAGCGATATCAGCACTTAACAGTTGATATAGGCACAGAAAGGTAAAACAAGAGGTATAGGCACAGGAAGGTATACCAAGAGGTATAGGCACAGAAAGGTATACCAAGAGGTATAGGCACAGAAAGGTATACCAAGAGGTATAGGCACAGAAAGGTATACCTAGCGCCTTCGGTGTACACTGAGCATTTCTTTGGCTCTTCAAATAGGTTCTGAACTAAGGTCTACTTCCTGACTGGTCAGTAAGCTATTGTGATGGTCTTAACGACCCTCATGAGGCGGATAGACCTTAATAATTAACCCTCTAGAGGTTCATAGGAGTTAATAACCCTCAAGAGATTGATAGACCCTAATGGCCCTATGAGGTTGATAGGCCATCAAAACCCTTAAGAGATTGATAGGCCTTAATAATTTGCCACAGGTTGATAAACCTTAATTAACCCACTTGAGGTTGTAAGGTCATAATGGCCCAAAGAGGTTGATAGGTCACAATAACGAGGCTGATAGGCCTTCACAACCTTCCAGAGACTGATAGGCCTTAATAACCCTCACGAGGTTGATAGACCTTACAAACCCTTCTGAGGTTGGTAGGCCATAATACAGCACTTCATAGTTGGACAGGCCTAAATAACCCTTCAGGGGGTTGAAGGGCCTTAATAACACCCCTGAGGTTGATGGGCTTTAGTAACGCTCAAGAGGTTAACCGGATTTAATAACTCTTCAGAGATTCATAGGCCTTAATAAGCCAAAAGAGGTTGATATATCGTAATACGCTTACCAATATAGATAGGTCATAGTAACCATCCAAAGGTTATATGCCTTGATAACCTTCCAGAGTTTATATAGCCTTAATAAGGTTCCTGAGTTTATATAGCCTTAATAACCTTCCAGAGTTTCACAGGCCTAGATAAACATTCAGAGATTTATAGGATTTAATAACCCTCCAGAGGGTGATATTAAGTCTTAATAACCATTCAGAGGTCGATTGGCCTTATTACCATACTCCAGAGGATGGTAATAAGACTTATACTAACCTATCCAAGGTTGCTTGGTCTTAATAAATCTCCTGTGAGTGATGGGCCTCAATAAACCCTCATGAGGCTAATAGGCCTTAATAAACTTTCGGAGGCTAATAGGCCTTAATAACCCTATATTGTTTAAACAGATCTGAATAACCTTCCTGAGTCTGGCTTGCCTAAATAATCCTTATGAGGTTGATAAGATTTAACCCTTAAGAGTTGAGTTGTCCCGCTCCTGTGCCAGGTAAGTTACGGGCTCACCATAGCCCGTGCTACTTGGAACTTGTTCCGAGTAGCTGAATCTATAACAACATAACAACAACCTTAAGAGTTTATTTAACCTTAATGCCCCTCCAAAGATTGACAGGCCTTAATAACCCCTCAAGAGAATGACAGGCCTTAATAACCCTCCAGAGATTGATTGGCCTTAAACCACTACACTAAATCACCTTTCACGGTCGACGACTGAGTGGCAAACTGCCTTTACACATAGAGTGGCAATTTGCCTCTACACATTGAGAGGCAACCTGCCTTTACACATGGAGTGCCAAGCTGCATCTACACATGGAGTAGCAACTTGGCTCTACACATTGAGTGGCTACCTGACTCTTCACAAGGAGACGAAGCGTTGGTTTAACATTTGGGTGACCTTAACATTCATTAATGGGAAATAAATTAAAATTACTGTTGCTGCATATAGGTATTGTTTATTTATAAGAAAGAAAGAAAGGATGGTGTTCCTTCAAAATATACTGAATAATACGGAAAAGTGTAAATATGCAATACCAGTAGTCAGGACTCTTCTATGTTCTTTGTTGAAACTAAAGAGGCAAAGATTGTCTATTGTTGCCTAAATTTACTGAATATTAGTATCGTTTATGTAGACATTAGTGGTTGATGACTTTGACGAGGATTTGTTTGAAGTTAGAAAGACTTTGGAAGATGCGTTCATCGTCAACACGACGGTCCAGGGGGTAGCCGTGTGGTCGCTTGTCGGGATACACTCCTCGGTAGCCATAGTGGTTGAATTTGGTGTTTGTGTGTAGATCATCTACAGCAGCGTCAGCCTTGCCGTCGGTCACAGCCACCACCAGGTCAAACTCCATACCATTAGAGTTACCCTTGGGCAGCAGGAACCTGTTGGGCAGTCCAAGGGCACTCTCATACTGATGAAGGTCAAACTTATTTGCGGAGGAGAGCGCCTCGTCAGCCTTCTGTATCAGGGTCTGGAAACTGGGCACGTCGGGGACAGTCACTGACGAGTCCTTAGACTTGCGCACGATGTGGTTCACTCCAGCACTCACTGTTGGCAAAATATAACTTGAAATTGGAAGTTCTTCATGAACTAGTTGTGAGATATTAATATGTGTATCATATGTAGTATAATATATTGTCACATAGTTATTGGTGTTAAAAGATTGCCCAAAAATTTATTACTTAAAGTCAAATTTTTGCGATTTGGTTTCATTTTAATTCATGTCATTAAATAGAAGAGAAGACTAAACGAAAGGTTACTTACGTTTGGTCCAGAACCTGTCCAGCTCGATGGCTCTCCAGCGTCCCTCGTTGAATGGGAAGACAATACCATTGTTGTCACGGTGGGGCCAGGCGAAGATGCGCACTGTTGCCAACACTTCTTCTTCATGATTGTTGGTGACGTCAATTTTGAAGGAGAAGTCCCTGTGGTTCAGACGTGACACAGTTGTTGATATTTCGACGTCTTCAATTTCGGGGGTGTCATCCACAGCATTGACAAGGCTGTATTCAAAATCTTCAAAATAAGTTTCAAATTTTCCGTCAATTGCAAAAGCGTCAACAGACACACCGCTGAACTCCAACTCATCATGAGTGTATGGCGTAAGGCTGTCCTTATGTTCCCTGAATATATTATCCATATACTTATGTAGTCTGAAGAAGCTGGGGTCGCGGGTGGCAGTTTCAAAGTGTTCCAGGACACCTGGGGGAAGGTCGTACTTTCCATGAGGGTCTCCCTGGCGACCAAGCATAACGTGAGCTGTGTTGTGGAGGGAGCCGTAGTACGCAACGTTAGGACTGTAGGTAGACGACTCGATAACATCACCCAGAACGTCAATGCCATGCGAGTTATTGATATCGATAGTGGAACCATCATTGGCAGTGACAAAGCCATGGGCAATGGCGTCACGAATACGGTTCTCAAGTATGAGCATGTCGCGAACATGAGCAACGCCCTCCACATCCTGATATTCCACATTATCTGGACGAGAGGGGAAGTAGCCACCATACTTGTATGTTGTATGAGGAGCAAATCCTTCCTTAATGGGTTTTTCCCAATGAAGTTCTTCCACGGGACTTAAGTAGTTGGAAAGACGTTCTGCGTCGAAGCGGACTGTAAGCTGGTGATGTACCCAGAAGAAATTCTCACCTTTGCGGTCCAGATGGTGACCTTCATGAGCATCGTCCCACCAGAATGGGAACTCCAAATGCCAAGTGACGTGGTGGGTGTTCAGGCCAATGTCTTCCCCGAAGTAGGCCACACGCTGCTCTGGGTTCCTTTTGCTGCCAGAATATGTTGACTTGAATTTACCTGGTGTCTGGGTCATCTTGGCACGGTACGCTTGCAAGATAATTTCACTGTTAGTGAACAAATGTGGAGTGACCTCGTAAAGAGGTGGAAGCACAACGTGTTGAGTGAGCGGAGAGTGAATCACTGCTGCATATAGAGCATACACAAACTCTCCTTCATTAACGTGACGTCTAAAATAAGCAGCATTGCCGACGAATGTGTTCCAGTCCTTGCTGTGTTCCAGGACATCATAGAGCATAAGGGCTTCTTCACGTTGTCGAGTATTGAAGAGGGAGAACCAGTGTTTCTGTTCCAGAAGTCTTCCGTCCTTCAGTTCCTTCACCAGCTTGTGGGCAGCGGCGCCATCGTCACTATACTGAGAAGGGTCGGCCTCAGGGTCGAAGGTCTCTCCGAAGTGCTTCAGTCTTTCATCATGAACGTCTTCATAAACCTTCCACAGCAGATAATTTACGTCATGCTGTTTCTGCGCTGTCAAATACATCAACTTTACATTTTGTTAAATTGAAACATTCAAAATTTAGTCAGCCAAATTTTTTTATCTGTTTTAATGATTACATGATTTAAACGATGAAGTATTTTTAAATAATTTGCATCAATATTTATTTAATATATGCGAATTCATATATAGACTTTTTCAAACAAACACGATTTCAAGATGGAGAAATAATATTGATTTACTTCAGCTCTTCATTTGATCCTATGAAACCTACTGTCAAAAAGCTATAGAATTCTAGTACTAGTTGAATATTAATTAAAAATGCCATATATATATATATATATATATATATATATATATATATATATATATATATATATATATATATATATATATATAATATATATATATATGTATGTGTGTGTGTAATTACCTAAGTGTAGTTACAGGATGAGAGCTAGGCTCCTTGTGTCCCGTCTACCCAGCATTCTTTGTCATATAACGCTTTGAATCTACTGACGGTTTTGGCCTCTGCCACCTTGTCACTTAACTTGTTCCAACCGTCTACCACTCTATTTGCGAAAGGAAATTTTCTTATATATCTTCGGAATCTTTGTTTAATTAGTTTAAATCTATGACCTCTTGTTCATGAAGTTCCAGGTCTCGGAAAAAAGAGATCATATTCCTAAGATGCTGAAGAGTTAACGTCTTAAATATCGCAGCTGGTGTTAAGGCCGCGTTGTACACGACAGCCGGCAAGTTGTGAATTGCGGTTAACTGTCAAGAGAAGGTGGGGGTAATTATCAGGAGAAAGCGCTTAGCCGGTACGACTTCATAGCACTTGGAAGAGATCTCAGACAGAGAGCTGCGTGACTACACAGCACTTGGAATGATATGAGAACAATGAGGGGGGGGGGGATAAGACTTGGGGAAGGAATGGTGGTCAACACACATGAACCATAAAGGGATTTGAAAGACGACCTGCAAGAAGTGAGAGACGTCGCTGTACCGGCCAGTACAAGCAGTTGGCTAAAAAAAAGAAAGATGACCGCAGCAGTAGCTTAGGGTTGGACCTGGTGAAAAACAGAGTAAAAGAAACTCTTCCCAATGTTTCTCGCCGGTGCCCGGGATCGAACCCGGGACTACAGGATCATATGACCAGCGTGCTGCCCACTCGGCCGGCCGGCTTCCCTATATGTGTGTGTGTGTGTGTGTGTGTGCATCAAGTTCTGAGGAACCTACATCAACTGTTTTGTTTTTAATGAACTTGCAAGCTTTAATCAGCAATAAATGTGATTTGTTACCTAATACTTGAAACTGCAGTATTTTGTGTAGAGAAATCACAAACACGGGAAAGTGTTCCAAGGGTCCATTCGAATTAGTGTAATTATGAGGGAAGTGGTTTGTTGAAACATGACAGTTGTATAGAACATGGGATGTTCCAAGCTGAGCAGTGTACAGAGAACAAAGAACACTGCCAGTCACTCACCACAGTGGCCGTCAGACACAGCCACGATGCCCGTCCCTCCAGCTTCTCTGTTCTCACAGTCTGCGATCTCTAGTATACACTGGTTGGCGTAGGTGAATCCGTCGTTGCCGCACACGGGCCTGTAGATCTTGGTGCACGCCTTCATGCAGGAGGAATCTGGAATGCAGTAAATAGGTACCTGTGAATTAGACAGCTGCTACGGGCTGCTTCCTGGAGATGTGAAACTAAAAGAAGGCCTGGTCGAGCCGGGCTGCTAAGCCCCGAAATCATCTCAAGATAACCTCAAGATATCTTTTAACAGGGTTTGATCACTTTATAGTAGCTGAGCTGTTATTATAAGTCGATATTCAACACAAAAATTCTTAATTTATATTTTAAACAATTATTGCAATTTTTGTTGGCTCACATTCAAATATTAAGTTACTGAGATCTCATGTGCAGTAATGACAAGCTCAGTGTTCTCACAAACCTACTTAGTGTAAATTCATTAATCATTAAATTCCAAGTCTAGCAGTTTCAGTCCAGAATATTGTGATTTTATCGTGCAGTAATTGTAAGTTTAAGGGTCTTACCCCTACAATTTCTCCCTTCCTTTAATATTCTGATTTAGAATTTGAGTTTATATATGTCGGTGATATGTATAGCTGTGGAAGTTGTGTTAATAACGAATGTTTATAAATATTTAAATAGTTTATAAAGATTCTGTGCTAGAATTAGGGTATTCTTGCCACATTCAGATACTTTTAACACTCATGTTATATATAACATTGGCTGGGTCTAGTAACCATTATTGCCATATGAAGACATGAGAATCTTTCGTCACTCAAATAACATGTCTTTCGACCCACCAGTGGAATATTGTCATTAGCAAGTAAAATATATTCTCCGTCATACAAAACAATGCATGTCCATATGGACTATAGAGCTACGAGGGGACTGACAGACACTGTTGCTGGCTGGGGTATACTCACCACCTGCACCGTCGTTCTGGAAGCCCAGGTTGGGCCAGGCGGCGACAGCGGCCACGAGAGTACACAGCACCAGGGCCTTCATGGTGGAGATGGCTGATCATCTGTACAATCACCTTCTTTATATCCTCCGGTCTCTTGGTGACCTACAGACTCGCCACCTGATACGTCCCACTCAGCTGTTGCCATCCGGCTTGAAATCAGATAAACGTTCATAACAGTTATCGTAATGTAATCACGTCTATAACAAAAATGAGTACATATCTTCACAGACTTTCGCAAGTGCTATGGAATCACCAAGCACTTTTAAAGGATTACAAACTATAAGAAGTTTATAGAGCCAAACTATAGGAGATTTGTGCATGGAAAGCTCAGGCTGGGATAAACATCTTAAGGCGAAGTTCTGAGGGAAAGCACTTATCAGTTCTGTTTGTATTCGTATATTCGATATTGCCCTGATGCCATAATGTACGGAGGTATGCGGCTGTGTACAGGTTTCTCTCACCCTCCCCTCCATCCCACACACACTCATTCTTTCCCATTCTCCACCTCGCTCATCACTCTTTTCCTATCCCCTTAATCTTCCCATATCCCCCTCCTTTAAAACTTAATCCCCTCTTCTCTCCTTCCCTCCACCCCCTTCTATTTGCCTCTCCCCCACCCCTCTCCACTTTTGTCTCCTCAACCCGTTTCTCAAACTTCTCACCCCTCAAAGAAGTTACTTCTATACCCCCCCTCTCTCACTTCTCGCCTCTCTCTTCCTGTCTCCACCTCTCTCCCTCACTCTAATTCCCTATTTTCAAATTCCCCTTCGCCTTCTCTCTTTTCTAAATCTCCATCATCCTTCTCTTTCTGTCTCTCCCTTTCTCTCTTTCTACCTGTCTGTGTTTGCGTCTGTGTGCTATTGTTTGTCTCTGTTTCTGACTCTATATCCGCTTGCATGTAAATCTATGCTTGTCTCTCAATTTCTCATTCTATTCTATTTGTCTCATTTCGTCTGTCTGTCTGCTTTTCTTCTGAATATGCCTGTGTCTCTCTATCCCTCTCTCACTCTCTTGTTAAAATAATATATTAGTCTACCATTGGCGTATGGCTGGCCTGCTGTGGAGAAGCCTTTGTGTAAAGTGGTTACATATATATATATATATATATATATATATATATATATATATATATATATATATATATATATATATATATATATATATATATATATATATATATATATATATATATATTAGTTACCCGTTTACTTTTAGAAAGAGAGAAGGGTGGGGGGGGGGGTAAGAAGCTGATAGATTGTCTGATTTATGCTAGCACAGCCGAAGTAAGAATAACAGAAAAAACTGCATAACATTTTCTGAGATCATTGAATTATGATGTATATTACTATTATAAACAAAATATATATTGATATATTTGTTTTCAGAACATTTCACAACGTGTAATCAGTGGGCAGTGTCAAAAATCGTTGTGGGGGTCAGAATATGATCCATGACACTCGGTTCATTCTGGAATTCTGGCAACCCTGACGAACCTGTGTTTGTACCGTACCCCAAACCATTCCCCCTGCAAAGCTGGAGGAGGCTAGCCCCTTCTGTGTATGGCCTGCAACCATCGGTAGATTGACAGACATTCTCTCCTATAAATTTAAGAAACTTTCCTTATTAAGACTACTCATAGCCCAGTCAGTAAAGCTTCAGTCTCACACACGTGGAGTCTATGGATCGAGACCCATACAGCTCAGGTGAATGGAATTCTCTCCTATAGATATAGATTATATTTTTTCATTATGTGTACAATTCGGTTAAAAAGTGTATTTTGCCTTGTTTGACTGAAAACATTGAACCTGGAAGTTCTTCTCCCCTAGCCCGGCCCGAGGCCAGGCTTAACTTGTGAGAGCTTGGTCCAACAGGCTGCTGCTTGGAGCGGCCTGCAGGCCCATATATCCACCACTTCCCAGTTGGTCAGGCATTTCTTGAAGAAAACTGGTCATTAATTTTAAAACCATTGTTACGAGTGAAATGCGGTCATATGAGGGGACCAACATTGCCATTCCCTTTTAATGATCTCATATAATTGCACTAAATTGATTCTTATTCTTCTTCTTTGAAGAATGACTAAAATGTTATCCTTTTAACGAGCTTCGACTGAGTTATGTCTAACTACCGTCAGTAGTTTTGCTGCTCGACGCTGAGCATCGTCTAATATGGCAATTACCTGCCTTAAGTACGGCGACCAACACCGCATGCAATATATTCCAGTACGGGACGCAGTTGTGTGAACTGTGCAAGGCGAGAATGACTTTCCTCGATGGAGGCTCGTAAGATCTCTCAATGAAATTTAATATTCTGCTGTTGCTTTACCGCCTCCTTGCGCTCCTTAGTTGACTTCAGACCATCTTCAACTCTACTTTCAACAACTCCGTGTTGATCATGCAGTTCCTTGTTTCAAAATTTGTGTTTCCAATACATGTATTGCTTCTCATTTATAAATATTAACATTAATACACAAAGAAATAGCACTAACGGGATTTATACATCAGGGAGAAAATAGATTCCAATTGATTAATTTAATGAAAAAAATTGTAAATGTTCGTAAGGTTTAAGAGATTATACAAGGGTTGTGTACGTTGGTAAGGTTTATGAGATCTCTATATACAAGGATTGTCAACGTCGATAAGGCTTATGAACTCTTCATATACAATGATTGTCAAAGTATGAAAGACTTATGAGACCTCAATATTCAAGTATTGCCAACATTTTCACTATTTACAATATATGTATACACAAGGATAGTTAACGTTAGCAAGAATTATGAATCATCAAAACATACGACTTGGCAATGTTTTTGACAAGTTCTGTTGGCTCTCTGCATTTGGGTGTAGAGATTGACAAATACAATTTGAGGAATGAATTAAAATTCCAGTTATTGTATGAAGCTTTCATTGCTGTGTAAGTTAGAAAAGATGTTATTCCTTCAAAAGTATAATTATTTATACAGCTATGTGTAAATATGAAATACAAACATTCAAGCATTTTTTGTTCTTATTGTTGTAACTTGAAACAAAAGAATGTTCGTTGTTGCCTAAATTTACTGAATATTATTGTTGGTTATGAAGTCATTAGTTGTTGATGATTTTGACGAGGATTTGTTTGAAGTTAGAAAGACTTTGGAAGATGCGTTCATCGTCAACACGACGATCCAGGGGGTAGCCGTGTGGTCGGTTGTCGGGATACACTCCTCGGTAGCCATAGTGGTTGAATTTGGTGTTTGTATGTAGATCATCTACAGCAGCGTCAGCCTTGCCGTCGGTCACAGCCACCACCAGGTCGAACTCCAAACCATTAGAGTTACCCTTGGGCAGCAGGAACCTGTTGGGCAGTCCAAGGGCACTCTCATACTGTTGAAGGTTGAGCTCGCTGCCTGAGGCGAGCGCCTCGTTAGCCTTCTGTATCAGGGTCTGGAAACTGGGCACGTCGGGGACTGTCACTGACGAGTCCTTAGACTTGCGCACGATGTGGTTCACTCCAGCACTCACTGTTGGCAAAATGTAACATGTAATTGAAAGTTCTTCATTAACTGGTTGTAATATATAAATATCTGTAACAAATGTATTATATATTAGCATGGTTATTGGTATTAGAACATTGCCCAAAAATTAATTACTTTAAGTTACATTTTTACAATTTATTTTTCATTTTAATTCATACCATTATATAGAAGAGAAACCCAAACGAAAGGCTACTTACGTTTGGTCCAGAACCTGTCCAGCTCAATGGCTCTCCAGCGTCCCTCGTTGAATGGGAAGACAATACCATTGTTGTCACGGTGGGGCCAGGCGAAGATGCGCACTGTTGCCAACACTTCTTCTTCATGATTGTTGGTGACGTCAATTTTGAAGGAGAAGTCCCTGTGGTTCAGACGTGACACAGTTGTTGAGATTTCGACGTCTTCAATTTCGGGGGTGTCATCCACAGCATTGACGAGGCTGTATTCAAAATCTTCAAAGTAAGTTTCAAATTTTCCGTCAATTGCAAAAGCATCAACAGACACACCGCTGAACTCCAATTCATCATGAGTGTATGGCGTAAGGCTGTCCTTATGTTCCCTGAATATATTATCCATATACTTATGAAGTCTGAAGAAGCTGGGGTCGCGGGTGGCAGTTTCAAAGTGTTCCAGGACACCTGGGGGAAGGTCGTACTTTCCTTGAGGGTCTCCCTGGCGACCAAGCATAACGTGAGCTGTGTTGTGGAGGGAGCCGTAGTACGCAACGTTAGGACTGTAGGTAGACGACTCAATAACATCACCCAAAACGTCAATGCCATGCGAGTTATTGATATCGATGGTGGAACCATCATTGGCAGTGACAAAGCCATGGGCAATGGCGTCACGAATACGGTTCTCAAGTATGAGCATGTCGCGAACATGAGCAACGCCCTCCACATCCTGATATTCCACATTATCTGGACGAGAGGGAAAGTAGCCACCATACTTGTATGTTGTATGAGGAGCAAATCCTTCCTTGATGGTTTTTTCCCAATGAAGTTCTTCCACGGGACTCAAGAAGTTGGAAAGACGTTCAGCGTCGAAGCGGACTGTGAGCTGATGATGTACCCAGAAGAAGTTCTCGCCCTTGCGGTCCAGATGGTGACCTTCATGAGCATCGTCCCACCAGAATGGGAACTCCAAATGCCAAGTGACGTGGTGGGTGTTCAGGCCAATGTCTTCCCCGAAGTAGGCCACACGCTGCTCTGGGTTCCTTTTGCTGCCAGAATATGTTGACTCGAATTTACCTGGTGTCTGGGTCATCTTGGCACGGTACGCTTGCAGGATAATTTCACTGTTAGTAAACAAATGTGGAGTGACCTCGTAAAGAGGTGGAAGCACTACGTTATGAGTGAGCGCAGAGTGAATCACTGCTGCATATAGAGCATAAACGAATTCTCCTTCATTAACGTAACGTCTAAAATAAGCAGCATTGCCGACGAATGTCTTCCAGTCCGAGCTGTGTTCCAGGACATCATAGAGCAAAAGGGCTTCTTCACGTTGTCGAGTATTGAAGAGGGAGAACCAGTGTTTCTGCTCCAGAAGTCTCCCGTCCTTCAGTTCCTTCACCAGCTTGTGGGCAGCGGCGCCATTGTCACTATAGTGAGAT